GGTCTCGAACCCGCAGCCTCAGGCAATCCACTCACCTCAGCCTCCCAAAGGCGTGGGATTACAGGCTGAGCCACCGAGCCCGGCTTGTAGGCTTGTCTTCTATTTCCCCCTGGCTTCGCCACCTGAGCTTCTGTTGGCTTCCCTAGAGTGGAAGTGGAAGGCAGAGCTCAGGACACCCGGATCCTGGAGCCCATCCTCCCTGCAGCTGAATTCCCCCAGTTAACTACCCTTCTTCACTTTCTTACTGCTCTGTGCTAGAGTTTTTTCTGGGGAGGGGGAGATGGGACCTGAGCAGGGGAAAGGAGAGGCAGGAGATGAGGGGAGGCAGGCCTGGTGGAGGCTGGGCATGCTAAGGGGAGGGTCTCATTGGGGACACAGAGTATCTTCCCACAGTGACAAGTCTGAGTGACGCAGAAGCAGGGGACAGGCAGGGTGATGCTGGTGGCTGGGCAGGAATGGGGCTGGGTGGGGCGGTTGCTACGTAACACCAGGGCAGGGAGACTTGAGTCACCTGTTGGGCCCTCGAAGGAGTGAGACTTCCACCCTGGAGATGAAACCAAGCTAGATCTCTGGGTTGCATAACTCCTAGGGGGCACCATCTACTCTGAACACATTGTGAATTGAGGTAGGTGGGGGAGGGAGAGGGTGGTGAGGTGGGGGCTTTGAGGGGAAATGATGGGCTGCAGCGACAGACAGGTTGGCATGGGGACTGCCAGTCAGGATGCTGGAGAAGGATGGTCCTGGGTATGCGCTCTGTTCCTCCACTTACTAGCTAGACATCTAGGCACATTTCCAAATTCTTCTAAGCCTTGGTGTCCTCATCTGTAAAGTGGGCTAACAGTACTACTTCATAGGGTAGATATATGGATCTGATGAGATAATGTCTAAAAGGAGTTTTTGAATTTTTAAAATTTATTTTAGTTGGAGTCTCACTTTGTCGCCTAGGCTGGAGTTCAGTGGCACGCTCATGACCACCACAGCCTCAATCTGTTGGGCTCAAGCGATTCTTCCGCCTCAGCCTTCCAAATACCTGGAACCAAAGGCGTGCACCACCACGCCCAGCTAATTTTTAAAAATCTATTGTAGAAGTCTTGCCAAAATGCCCAAGCTGGTCTCGAACCCATTGGCTCAGACAATCCTCTCGCCACTGCTTTCCAAATTGCTGGGATTACAGGCATGAGTCACTACGCCCGGTTTAAAAGGAGCTTTAAAAGACTTAACAACTGTCAGGAGTCAGAAGCAGCCTGCCTTAGGTCAAATCCCAGTTTTGTCTCCACTTAATACGTAATGTTGACTGTTTTCTCTATGTAAAATTGGCATGAGAATACAGTCCTTTAGCTGAAACTGTTGGTGCCAGAGTGTTTTGAAATGCCGATTTTATTTAGAAGCTACACGCACATATCTGTACACAGGTACAAAAAATATGTATATATACATACGTATCTACATCTATATCTATCTGTGTATATCTTCTCTATATATGTATATACACACCCTATATTATGTAATATATTTACCACCAGGGCATCTCTAATCAAATATATTAATATTTTCCAGTAAAAACTATGAATAGTTACACCAAGTGAGTTAAACAGAGACTATATATAGCCTCAGGTAAATTTAGAACATGTTTTTTCAACCAATGAATCTGTTGTGAAGCAAACAACTGAATTTCCACAGCTTTTTTTTTTCTTTTTTCTTTTTTTGAGCCAAAGTGTCATTCTGCCGCCCAGGCTGGAGTGCAGTGGCATGTTCACAGACATCACAGCCTTAAGCAGCTGGGCTCAGACTTTCAAGTAGCTGGAATCATAGGTGTGCACCACCGTATCTGGCTAATTTTTTGATTTATTATAGAGACAAGGCTCACCAAGTTGTCCACTCTTTGTCTTGAACCCCTGGGCTCAGGCAATCCTCTTGCCTCAGCCTCCCAAAGTGCTGGGATTACAGACGTGAGCCGCCACACCTGGTCACCATAGCCTTTTGTATTTTGGAATTGTGGAGAAGAGGTTGTGGGCCTTAATAATAGTCACCTGCCTCTTAAGGTTGTTCTTGTGCAGCTTAAATTATTAATATAAGTAAAGTGTTTATAAAGTGCCTCCTACCTAGTAACTGCAATATAACTGTCAATAATATATATACATTTTGAGTTGGAGTCTCAGTCCATCACCCGGGCTGGAGTGCAGTGGCATGCTCACGGTCACCCCAGCATCAACCTGCTGGGCTCCGGTGATCCTTCTGCCTCAGCCTTCCAAGTAGCCAGAACTACAGGCACATGCTACCACTCCCAGCTAATTTCTTAAATTTACTGTAGAGACGAGGGCTGGACAAGTTGCCCGGGCTGGTCTCAAACCCACGGGCTCAGGCAGTCCACTCACCTCGGCCTCCCAAAGTACTGGGATTACAGGCTGAGCCACCGAATCCAGGCAATTATTGATATTTCAGTGAGTCTACATTACTATCTGCCCCAAAGGAAAAGAAATCATTATATCAAAAAGCTACCTGCACTCATATATTTATCACACACTATTCACAATAGCAAAGGCATGGAATCTACCTAAGCAAACACCATCAGATGATTGCATAAAGAAAATGTAGTATATATACGTGATGGAATACTATTTAGCTACAAAAAAGGATAAATCATGTATTTTGCAGCAACATGGATAGAACTGGAGATCATTATCTTAAGTGAAACAAGTCGGACACAGAAAGTCAAATATCACATGTTCTCACTCGTAATTGGGAGCTAAAAACTGTGTACACATGGATGTAGAGAATGAAATGACAGTGGAGACTCAGAAGGGTGGGGAGAAGGGAGTGGACGATTAGAAGTTACATAATGAGTAAAATGTACATTATTTGAATGAGAGATGCCCTGAGTCCCTGACTTGACCACTATGCGGCCTATGCATGTAACAAAATTACATTTGTACTCCGTATATTTATGCAAATTAAAAATACTCAGTGGGATGTAATCCTAAACACAACTTCCATTAAAAACCACTAACATGAAAAGAATACTCAGTGGATATAGAAGAGGGGCTTCTCTAAGAAGCAGAGCCCAGCCCGAGGGGCAGAGCAAAGGAAACGAGGTGGGTCCGTGATCCTTTCGTCTGAGATTTTGAGAAGAAATGCATCTCACCTCTCCCAGGGTGAGCCTTCCCTATCCTTGGCCATGGGTTCCCCAGAGCTGACCTGGGGGGCAGAAGCTGAACTCCTGCTCTCTGAAGTGGGCAGGATGGGCAGGGGCAAGCAGGGTGGAGGTCAGCCCCTGAGCCTTCTCCTTGATTTCCCTATAGGAAAGACAAGAGCAGATGACTCACTCCCCATCCTCCTGGAGCACAGACGAGAGGAGATCAGAGCTAAGCAGGACTTCTACCAGTGAGGGGGAGAGTGGCAGCGTCTGGGAGTCCTGCAGGGGTCAAGA